CTGTATATGCAGGGTCCTCCTGTACAGCAGTAGCCCAGAACCAAACCTGCTGTATAAGCAGCGTCCTCCTGTACATCAGTAGCCCAGAACCAAACCTGCTGTATAAGCAGGGTCCTCCTGTACAGCAGTAGCCCAGAACCAAACCTGCTGTATAAGCAGCGTCCTCCTGTACATCAGTAGCCCAGAACCAACCTGCTGTATAAGCAGGTCCTCCTGTACATCAGTAGCCCAGAACCAAAAACCCGCTGTATAAGCAGGGTCCTCCTGTACATCAGTAGCCCAGAACCAAACCTGCTGTATAAGCAGGGTCCTCCTGTACAGCAGTAGCCCAGAACCAAACCTGCTGTATAAGCAGCGTCCTCCTGTACATCAGTAGCCCAGAACCAAACCTGCTGTATAAGCAGCGTCCTCCTGTACATCAGTAGCCAGAACCAAACCCGCTGTATAAGCAGCGTCCTCCTGTACATCAGTAGCCAGAACCAAACCTGCTGTATAAGCAGCGTCCTCTGTACATCAGTTTGCCCAGAACCAAACCTGCTGTATAAGCAGGGTCCTCCTGTACAGCAGTAGCCAGAACCAAACCTGCTGTATAAGCAGGGTCCTCCTGTACATCAGTAGCCCAGAACCAAACCTGCTGTATAAGCAGCGTCCTCCTGTACATCAGTAGCCCAGAACCAAACCTGCTGTATAAGCAGGGTCCTCCTGTACAGCAGTAGCCCAGAACCAAACCTGCTGTATAAGCAGCGTCCTCCTGTACATCAGTAGCCCAGAACCAAACCTGCTGTATAAGCAGGGTCCTCCTGTACAGCAGTAGCCCAGAACCAAACCTGCTGTATAAGCAGGGTCCTCCTGTACAGCAGTAGCCCAGAATCAAACCTGCTGTATAAGCAGGGTCCTCCTGTACAGCAGTAGCCCAGAACCAAACCTGCTGTATAAGCAGGGTCCTCCTGTACAGCAGTAGCCCAGAACCAAACCTGCTGTATAAGCAGGGTCCTCCTGTACAGCAGTAGCCCAGAACCAAACCTGCTGTATAAGCAGGGTCCTCCTGTACAGCAGTAGCCCAGAATCAAACCTGCTGTATAAGCAGGGTCCTCCTGTACATCAGTAGCCCAGAACCAAACTTGCTGTATAAGCAGCGTCCTCCTGTACATCAGTAGCCCAGAACCAAACCTGCTGTATAAGCAGGGTCCTCCTGTACAGCAGTAGCCCAGAACCAAACCTGCTGTATAAGCAGGGTCCTCCTGTACAGCAGTAGCCCAGAACCAAACCTGCTGTATAAGCAGGGTCCTCCTGTACAGCAGTAGCCAAGAACCAAACCTGCTGTATAAGCAGGGTCCTCCTGTACAGCAGTAGCCCAGAAACCAAACCTGCTGTATAAGCAGGGTCCTCTGTACAGCAGTAGCCAAGAACCAAACCTGCTGTATAAGCAGGGTCCTCCTGTACAGCAGTAGCCCAGAACCAAACCTGCTGTATAAGCAGGGGCCTCCTGTACAGCAGTAAGCCCAGAACCAAACCTGCTGTATAAGTAGGGTCCTCCTGTACATCAGTAGCCCAGAACCAAACCTGCTGTATAAGCAGGTTCCTCCTGTACAGCAGTAGCCCAGAACCAAACCTGCTGTATAAGCAGGGTCCTCCTGTACATCAGTAGCCCAGAACCAAACCTGCTGTATAAGCAGGGTCCTCCTGTACAGCAGTAGCCCAGAACCAAACCTGCTGTATAAGCAGGGTCCTCCTGTACAGCAGTAGCCCAGAATCAAACCTGCTGTATAAGCAGGGTCCTCCTGTACAGCAGTAGCCCAGAACCAAATCTGCTGTATAAGCAGGGTCCTCCGTACATCATAGCCCAGAATCAAACCTGCTGTATAAGCAGGGTCCTCCTGTACAGCAGTAGCCCAGAATCAAACCTGCTGTATAAGCAGGGTCCTCCTGTACAGCAGTAGCCCAGAATCAAACTTGCTGTATAAGCAGGCTCCTCCTGTACAGCAGTAGCCCAGAATCAAACCTGCTGTATAAGCAGGGTCCTCCTGTACAGCAGTAGCCCAGAATCAAACCTGCTGTATAAGCAGGGTCCTCCTGTACAGCAGTAGCCCAGAATCAAACCTGCTGTATAAGCAGGGTCCTCCTGTACATCAGTAGCCCAGAACCAAACCTGCTGTATAAGCAGGGTCTTCCTGTACAGCAGTAGCCCAGAACCAAACCTGCTGTATAAGCTGGGTCCTCCTGTACAGCAGTAGCCCAGAACCAAACCTGCTGTATAAGCAGGGTCCTCCTGTACAGCAGTAGCCCAGAACCAAACCTGCTGTATAAGCAGGGTCCTCCTGTACAGCAGTAGCCCAAAAACCAAACCTGCTGTAATAAGCAGGGTCCTGTACAGCAGTAGCCCAGAACCAAACCTGCTGTATAAGCAGAGTCCTCCTGTACAGCAGTAGCCCAGAACCAAACCTGCTGTATAAGCAGGGTCCTCCTGTACAGCAGTAGCCCAGAACCAAACCTGCTGTATAAGCAGGGTCCTCCTGTACATCAGTAGCCCAGAACCAAACCTGCTGTATAAGCAGGGTCCTCCTGTACATCAGTAGCCCAGAATCAAACCTGCTGTATAAGCAGGGTCCTCCTGTACAGCAGTAGCCCAGAATCAAACCTGCTGTATAAGCAGGGTCCCTGTACAGCAGTAGCCCAGAATCAAACCTGCTGTATAACAGGGTCTCCTGTACAGCAGTAGCCCGAACCAAACCTGCTGTATAAGCAGGTCCTCTGTACAGCAGTAGCCAGAACCAAACCTGCTGTATAAGCAGGGTCCTCCTGTACAGCAGTAGCCCAGAACCAAACCTGCTGTATAAGCAGGGTCCTCCTGTACAGCAGTAGCCCAGAACCAAACCTGCTGTATAAGCAGGGTCCTCCTGTACATCAGTAGCCAAGAACCAAACCTGCTGTATAAGCAGAGTCCTCCTGTACAGCAGTAGCCCAGAACCAAACTTGCTGTATAAGCAGGGTCCTCCTGTACAGCAGTAAGCCCAGAACCAGAACCCTGCTGTATAAGCAGGGTCCTCCTGTACAGCAGTAGCCCAGAACCAAACCTGCTGTATAAGCAGGGTCCTCCTGTACAGCAGTAGCCCAGAACCAAACCTGCTGTATAAACAGGGTCCTCCTGTACAGCACTAGCTCAGAACGAAACCTGCTGTATAAGCAGGGTCCTCCTGTACAGCAGTAGCCCAGAATCAAACCTGCTGTATAAGCAGGGTCCTCCTGTACAGCAGTAGCCCAGGACCAACCTGCTGTAATAAGCAGGTCCTCCTGTACAGCAGTAGCCCAGAACCAAACCTGCTGTATAAGCAGGGTCCTCCTGTACAGCAGTAGCCCAGAACCAAACCTGCTGTATAAGCAGGGTCCTCCTGTACAGCAGTAGCCCAGAACCAAACCTGCTGTATAAGCAGGGTCCTCCTGTACAGCAGTAGCCCAGAACAAACCTGCTGTATAAGCAGGGTCTCCTTTACAGCAGTAGCCCAGAACCAAACCTGCTGTATAAGCAGGGTCCTCCTGTACAGCAGTAGCCCAGAATCAAACCTGCTGTATAAGCAGGGTCTCCTGTACAGCAGTAGCCCAGAACCAAACCTGCTGTATAAGCAGGGTCCTCCTGTACAGCAGTAGCCCAGAATCAAACCTGCTGTATAAGCAGGGTCCTCCTGTACAGCAGTAGCCCAGAATCAAACCTGCTGTATATGCAGGGTCCTCCTGTACAGCAGTAGCCCAGAACCAAACCTGCTGTATAAGCAGGGTCCTCCTGTACAGCAGTAGCCCAGAACCAAACCTGCTGTATAAGCAGGGTCCTCCTGTACAGCAGTAGCCCAGAACCAAACCTGCTGTATAAGCAGGTCCTCCTGTCAGCAGTAGCCCAGAACCAAACCTGTAAAGAGGGTCCTCCTGTACAGCAGTAGCCAGAACCAAACCTGCTGTATAAGCAGGGTCCTCCTGTACAGCAGTAGCCCAGAACCAAACCTGCTGTATAAGCAGGGTCCTCCTGTACAGCAGTAGCCCAGATCCAAACCTGCTGTATAAGCAGGGTCCTCCTGTACAGCAGTAGCCCAGAATCAAACCTGCTGTATAAGCAGGGTCCTCCTTACCCGTAGCCAGAACCAAACTGCTGTTAGCAGGGGCCTCCTGTACAGCAGTAGCCCAGAACCAAACCTGCTGTATAAGCAGGGTCCTCCTGTACATCAGTAGCCCAGAATCAAACCTGCTGAATAGGCAGGTCTTTCCTGTAAGGTATTTCTTAAACAAAAATTATTTATCTTCTGCCCAGTATTATTCTACCTCAGGCTCTTGCAAATAAGTGTAGACTCATTAAAATTATCAAATAATTATCTATAAACTCGTCTGATGGACTCATATAGATCTACTTAAGTGATGCTGTTAAGAGAGCCTAAGGTTCACTTAACAGCATCAGATTCATCTAACAGTCTGACTCACTTAACTGCCTTACTCACCTAATGACCTGAAACTCACGTAAAGATTAGCCTAAATATCCCACGACTCCTTCAAGGACTCACCTACCTTACTAAATACTCACCTAAGTATCTTAAGATTCCCTTTTGGAATTACCTACCTTACTCAAGACTCACCTAAACATCTTGACTCTCTCCTGGACTCACCTACCGTACTCTAGACTCACCAAAACATCTTGACTCTCTCTTGGACTCGCCTACCTTACTCTAGACTCACCAAAACATCTCGACTCTCTCTTGGACTCACCTACCTTACTCTAGACTCACCTAAGCATCTTGACTCTCTCCTGGACTCACCTACATTACTCTAAACTCACCTAAGCATCTTGACTCTCTCTTGGACTCACCTACCTTATTCTAGACTCACCTAAACATCTTGACACTCTCTTGAACTCGCCTACCTTACTCTAGACTCATCTAAGAATCTTGACTCTCTCCTAGACTCACCTACCTAGCTAGAGACTGAGGTAATGCTCTTAAAGACTCTGGTAGGAGACTCACCTTGCCCATACTGGAGACTCCCCTGAAGAGTCCCAGGAAGACGATGACCCAGGAGAGGATGAGACAGAGACACAGTCTCCACTGCAGTGTGTGCCCTTCCGGGTCGTGGAAACCCTCGGAGATGTCCAGCATAAAGTTGCTGCAAGATAAACATTATTAACTCTGGAGGGTAGTTATATGAACATTAGTACTGTCAGGTAAAGGACATTTTATTGTGGCAACGTTTCGCTTTGTCAAGCCGTTACGGCTTGACAAAGCTCCTGGAGAGCGAAACGTTGCTACAGTAAAATGTCACATTTTACTTGTTGGTAATTCTACCAACATTATTACATCAGTACTATCTATCGTCACAGTAAGCACGTCTATCATCAAAAATATAGCTGTCTGCCAGAGTACAGAGCTATCGTCATAGTACATGTCTATTGCTCAGACCATATAATATCTATTGTCTATCGCTAAGAGCGTGCAGAAGCTATGGTCACAGCATGAGTACAGACCTATCGTCATAGTGCAAATCTATCGTCACCGCGTGAATGCAGATCTATGGTCATAGTATAAGTTTATCACTGAGATGATACAATATCTACTGTCACAGCATAAGTCCATCGCTAAGAGCATACAGAATGTATCGTAACAGCCCAAGTGTTACACTCAGAGCACACACACACAGTATGTATGGTTCCAATAAGAGAGTCTGGGGGGATAGAGTACAAGTACTCACTGGAAGAACTCATCGGCTGGGAGCTTCAGGCTCTGGGCTGTCGCGTTTAGCGACTCCCACTCCATCGGCGACACTTGTGACTGGAAGAAGCAGGTGCCATTAGTCGCCATAAGGCCCTCCAGAGATGTACAGTTCTTGGCGTCGAACCTGGGAACGGGCAAAATAAAATGGGGTTGTAAATTGGCGTGTATACAATACCGTGACCGAAACAATACACAAATAACCCGCACATAGGAGGAAGAAACTAATGACGATGTTTCGATTCGACTTGGTTTATTAACTAGCCTGTAAATGATATATAGTGTCTGTGATCGATGCTGTCTGTAAATGATATATAAATGTCTGTAAACGATCTGTAGATGTTTGTGTGCATGATCTGTAAATGATGCATAACTGTAAATGTCGTGTTAGTGGTTTTTACACGTTTGGAAACGGTCAGTAAATAGTATGTAAATAATTTGTATACGTCCATCAACAATCTTTCAAAGTCTATAAATGATCAGTAAACGTCTCTAAATAACCTGTACATGTCTGTGCACTGAGGAGTAGTAGTGTATGAACGCATAGCTAGACTGGGAATGGAACAATGACAGTGTGTGAACGTATGTAAGGATTGAGAGCAGAATAATGATGAGAGTGAGAGGCGCGGACTGACCTCCTGCATGCGGCGGTGTTCCACCAGTGATCGCAGGACTGCCATGGCAGCTCTGCCGTGAAGGATGAGAAGAGGTAGAAGAGGGCCCAGGCGATAATGACGTTGTAGTAGAGAGCGATGAAGAAGGCGATCATGAACATGCCCACGCCCACGCCCTGGAAGAGGGGCACCACCTTCCAGATGGTGATGGGTCCCTCACGCCCGAACTGACCCAGGCTCAGCTCGAAGAAGAAGAGCGGAAGTCCCGTGATGGTCAGCATGATGGCGTATGGGATCAGGAAGGCGCCTGGGGCATAGTATTATTATTATTATTATTATTGTAATTATTATTATTAGATCAGTGGAGAACCTTTACAATTGTATGGGCTCCAGAAGGCGCCTGTGGAAATGTAAAATATTATAATTAATAATAATAATAATAATAGTATTATATTATTGTAGAACATTTAACCTCGTTATAGAATGATTGTGCCTGTGGCAAATTATTATTATTATTACTATTGCGATATAGATGTGTGATTCACAAAGGACACACGTGTAGATACTGGAGCCTCCGTCCTCTCAGAGAGAAAAACTACTCTTGCAGCATAACTAACCTGCTATACACTCATTAAAATGTACTACAAGAAGACTGACGTGTGTATGACTAGACTAGGGCACTAACTCTTAATACTCAGACTGTTGTTTTTTTTTTTTTTTTAATTTTACGAGGTTTGTCTTGATACCGGGCCGCAGGAGCGATGATTCCAATAGCTATCATACACCATCATTATACACCATACCCCACCACTAGCATCATACACCACCACCATCATTATACACCATACCCCACCACAAGCATCATCATACACCACCATCATTATACACCATCATCACCATACCCCACCACTATCATACACCACCATCATGCATCACTATCATACACCACCACCATCATACACTACCACCATCATCATACACCACCACCATCATACACCACCACCATTATACACCACCACCATCATACACCACCACCATCATTATACACCCTCATCACCTTAACTCACCCTATCAAACAACCATCATTATACACCATCATCACCATACCCCACCACTATCATACATCACTAGCATACACCACAACCATACACCATCCTCATACACCATCACCACCATCATTATACACCACCACCGTCATCATACACCACCATCATCATACACCACCACCACCACCATCTTCAAACACCACCACCGTCATCATACACCACCACCATCTTCATACACCACCACCGTCATCATACACCACCACCACCATCATCATACACCACCACCCACCATCTTCATACACCACCACCGCCATCATACACCATCATCATACACCACCACCACCATCATTATACACCACCATCATCATACGCCACCACCACCACCATCTTCATACACCACCGTCATCATACACCACCGTCATCATACACCACCACCACCATCATACACCACCACCGTCATCATACACCACCGTCATCATACACCACCACCATCATACACCACCACCGTCATCATACACCATCATACACCACCATCATCATACACCACCACCGTCATCATATACCACCACCACCATCATCATACACCACCGTCATCATACACCACCACCATCATACACCACCACCACCATCATCATACACCACCATCATACACCACCACCGTCATCATACACCACCACCATCATCATACACCACCACCGTCATCATACACCACCATCATCATCATACACCACCACCACCATCATCATACACCACCACCGTCATCATACATCACCATCATCATGCACCACCACCGTCATCATACAACACCACCGTCATCATACACCACCACCGTCATCATACATCACCATCATCATGCACCACCACCATCATCATACACCACCACCGTCATCATACACCAGCATCATCATCATACACCACCACCACCACCATCATACACCACCACCGTCATCATACACCACCACCGTCATCATACACCACCATCATACACCACCACCACCATCATCATACACCACCGTCATCATACATCACCATCATCATGCACCACCACCGTCATCATACAACACCACCGTCATCATACACCACCATCATCATACACCACCACCACCACCATCATAACACCACCACCGTCATCATACACCACCACCGTCATCATACACCACCACGACCATCATCATACACCACCACCGTCATCATACACCACCACCGTCATCATACACCACCACCACCATCATACACCACCGCCACCATCATACACCACCGTCATCATACACCACCATCATACACCACCACCGTCATCATACACCACCACCGTCATCATACATCACTACCACCATCATACACCACCACCACCATCATACACCACCACCGTCATCATACACCGCCATCATACACCACCACCGTCATCATACACCACCATCATCATACACCACCACCGTCATCATACACCACCACCGTCATCATACACCACCACCACCATCATCATACACCACCACCACCATCATACACCACCACCGTCATCATACACCACCATCATCATCATACACCACCACCGTCATCATACACCATCATACACCACCACCGTCATCATACACCACCACCACCATCATACACCACCACCGTCATCATACACCACCGTCATCATACACCACCACCGTCATCATACACCACCACCACCATCATCATACACCACCGTCATCATACACCACCACCGTCATCATACACCACCACCGTCATCATACACCACCGTCATCATACACCACCACCGTCATCATACACCACCGTCATCATACACCACCACCGTCATCATACACCACCACCACCATCATCATACACCACCACCACCATCATCATACACCACCACAGTCATCATACACCACCACCATCATCATACACCACCACCGTCATCATACACCACCACCACCATCATCATAAACCACCACCACCATCATACACCACCACCGTCATCATACACCACCACCACCATCATACACCACCACCGTCATCATACACCACCACCGTCATCATACACCACCACCGTCAATCACATACACCACCACCGTCATCATACACCACCACCGTCATCATAACACCACACACCGTCATCATACACCACCACCATCATACACCACCACCGTCATCATACACCACCACCACCATCATACACCACCACCGTCATCATACACCCACCGTCATCATAACACCACCACCGTCATCATACACCACCACCGTCATCATACACCACCACCGTCATCATACACCACCACCATCATACACACCACCGTCATCATACACCACCACCACCATCATACACCACCACCGTCAATCAATACACCACCACGTCATCATACACCACCACCGTCATCATACACCACCACCGTCATCATACACCACCACCATCATACACCACCACCGTCATCATACACCACCACCACCCATCATACACCACCACCGTCATCATACACACCACCGTCATCATACACCACCACCGTCATCATACACCACCACCACCATCATCAACACCACCGTCATCATACACCACCACCGTCATCATACACCACCACCGTCATCATACACCACCGTCATCATACACCACCACCGTCATCATACACCACCGTCATCATACACCACCACCGTCATCATACACCACCACCACCATCATCATACACCACCACCACCATCATCATACACCACCACAGTCATCATACACCACCACCATCATACACCACCACCGTCATCATACACCACCACCACCATCATACACCACCACCGTCATCATACACCACCACCGTCATCATACACCACCACCGTCATCATACACCACCACCGTCATCATACACCACACCACCATCATCATACACCACCATCATCATACACCACCACCACCATCATACACCACCGTCATCATACACCACCACCACCGTCATCATACACCACCACCACCATCATACACCACCACCATCATCATACACCACCACCATCATCATACACCACCACCACCGTCATCATACACCACTACCACCATCATACACCACCACCATCATCATACACCACCACCATCATCATACACCACCACCACCGTCATCATACACCACTACCACCATCATAACACCACCACCGTCATCATACACCACTACCACCATCATACACCACCACCATCATCATACACCACCACCATCATCATACACCACCACCATCATCATACACCACCACCATCATCATACACCACCACCGTCATCATACACCACCACCACCATCATCATACACCACCACCGTCATCATACACCACCACCACCATCATCATACACCACCACCACCATCATCATACACCACCACAACCATCATCATACACCACCACCACCATCATCTTACACCACCACCACCATCATACACCACCACCACCATCATACACCCCACCATCATACACCACCACCATCATACACCACCGTCATCATACACCACCATCATCATACTTGAGGTTACATAGCGGGAAACAATAACAATAAATTGCCACCTTTCATCACAGGAATTTCCTATGAACTCAGACACAAAAAATTCTACGTTGGTTATGTAACATTTTACGTTACCTATCGTTCATTATCAAACATTTTACGTTACCTGTAAAATGTTATTATCTACAGTGATACAGTAGGTGCTGGTTATAGAATCTAATTGTATTTCTTCACCATCCACTTAGACTGTGTTTATTTACTTCTAGACATTTAGTTAAGATCTTAAGTGAGAGTGTCTGGCGCATTTATTAACATTCTAATACCAAGAATATTGTTAATATCGAACAGTATATCACTGATACTAGGATCACCAAACTCCTTCCTGATATCAAGAAACATGGTAGCTTCGGTAGAGCCGAGAATAATTCTGAAGGATTCATATTACATTAACTCCAACGACCTGAGAGAATTTTTCATGGCTAATATTGTATATATGTTGGCAGAATTACCGACAATATGTAAAGTAAGAGGATAAGTGCAACTAATGTGACATTTTACTGTGGCAACGTTTCGTTCTCCAGGAGCTTTATCAAGCCGTAACGGCTTGATAAAGCTCTTGAAGAGCGAAACGTTGCCACAATAAAATGTCACATTAGTTACACTTGTGTCCTTTTACTTTACATAGCTAATATTAACATAGGCGCAGCATAGTCAATTAAGGATCCAATATGGGCTCTGCACATCATTCTCAGTAGTCTCACATTAGCACCATAGTTAGGGTCGTAGTCAGTGACAGCTCTCAGATCATTCAGCCTATCTTTGCACGTCTTATTTAGTCGTGGTATGATGGAGTTATTGAAAGGCATTTCTTCGCAGAGTTGTTTATATAACTCTCTACGTTATCTATCGTTGCTTATAGAACTTTCTTCTAATACATATTGTCTATTTACGTTATTTTCTGCCTTAGCTGTCGTCTCCGTGTTGTCATGTCCTGGTTATCACTTGTCTTCTGCACAATCATTTGTCCTCTCCTGGTTATCACTGCCTTCGTTCCAATTCCCTTAATTACACCTGTGCTGCTCTGACCTCCACTAATGTAACAACTATTCCATCCACTTGTGTAATTGCAGGTTAGCGGGGGAAGGGGTCGACGGGAGGCTCTCCCATGAATACCTGGTAACCTTAATTACATTCTTACCTTCAACGAAGCGAGAGGGAGAGGTAGAGGTAGGGGGTAGAGGCGTTAGTACTGATGACCATTATAATTATTACTGCATTTCCCAGACAGGAAAATGTGTAGGCGCAGCTTTTATTTATAAGCAAAGGTCCTCTTCTGCAGTCCTACAGTACTAGCGTCACCCTTTCATTTTCTCGAGAGGCGGATCTTTTGCTTTCTCTCTCTCTCAATCACAGCTATTTGTTTTTTACATTGTACTTCATGAAGCACTAAACCCGTGTGGGTTTTCAGCTGCTGAACTACAGACACAGCTGTCCCGCCAAGTCTTCCACCACTGCAGTCATTACAAAACTGTATTAGTGTCCAGATGTCTGGACACTCATTTCCTCCATTGCGGTAGCAGAGGTAGGGAAAACTCCAAATGTCTGGACATCACTCTCCATTGCGGTAGCAGAGGTAGGGAAACCTCCAGATGTCTGGACACTCACCTTCTCCATTGCGGTAGCAGAGGTAGGGAAACCTCCAGATGTCTGGAACACTCACCTTCTCCATTGCGGAGGTTAGGGAAACCTCCAAATGTCTGGACACTCACCTTCTCCACTGCGGTAGCAGAGGTAATGAAATCTCCAGATGTCTGGACACTCACCTTCTCCATTGCGGAGGTAGGGAAACCTCCAAATGTCTGGACACTCACCTTCTCCACTGCGGTAGCAGAGGTAATGAAATCTCCAGATGTCTGGACACTCACCTTCTCCATTGCGGTAGCAGAGGTAGGGAAACCTCCAAATGTCTGGACACTCACCTTCTCCATTGCGGTAGCAGAAGTAGGGAAACCTCCAGATGTCTGGACACTCATCTTCTCCACTGCGGTAGCAGAGGTAGGGAAACCTCCAGATGTCTGGACACTCACCTTCTCCATTTGCGGTAGCAAGAGGTAGGGAAACCTCCAGATGTCTGGACACTCACCTTCTCCATTGCGGTAGCAGAGGTAGGGAAACCTCCAAATGTCTGGACACTCACCTTCTCCATTGCGGTAGCAGAAGTAGGGAAACCTCCAGATGTCTGGACACTCACCTTCTCCATTGCGGTAGCAGAGGTAGGGAAACCTCCAGATGTCGGGAAACACTCACCTTCTCCACTGCGGTAGCAGAGGTAGGGAAACCTCCAGATGTCTGGACACTCACCTTCTCCATTGCGGTAGCAGAGGTAAGGAAATCTCCAGATGTCTGGACACTCACCTTCTCCATTGCGGTAGCAGAAGGTAGGGAACCTCCAGATGTCTGGACACTCACCTTCTCCATTGCGGTAGCAGAGGTAGGGAAACCTCCAGATGTCTGGACACTCACCTTCTCCACTGCGGTAGCAGAGGTTAAGGAAATCTCCAAAATGTCTGGACACTCACCTTCTCCATTGCGGTAGCAGAGGTAGGGAAACCTCCAGATTCTGGACACTCACCTTCTCCATTGCGGTAGCAGAGGTAGGGAAACCTCCAGATGTCTGGACACTCACCTTCTCCATTGCGGTAGCAGAAGTAGGGAAACCTCCAGATGTCTGGACACTCATCTTCTCCACTGCGGTAGCAGAGGTAGGGAAACCTCCAGATGTGTGGACACTCACCTTCTCCACTGCGGTAGCAGAGGTAGGGAAACCTCCAGATGTCTGGACACTCACCTTCTCCATTGAGGTAGCAGAGGTAGGAAAACCTCCAGATGTCTGGACACTCACCTTCTCCATTGCGGTAGCAGAGGTAGGGAAACCTCCAGATGTCTGGACACTCACCTTCTCCATTGCGGTAGCAGAGGTAGGGAAACCTCCAGATGTCTGGACACTCACCTTCTCCACTGCGGTAGCAGAGGTAAGGAAACCTCCAGATGTCTGGACACTCACCTCCATTGCGGTAGCAGAGGTAGGGAAACCTCCAGATGTCTGGACACTCACCTTCTCCATTGCGGTAGCAGAGGTAGGGAAACCTCCAGATGTCTGGACACTCACCTTCTCCACTGCGGTAGCAGAGGTAGGAAAACCTCCAGATGTCTGGACACTCACCTTCTCCATTGCGGTAGCAGAGGTAGGGAAACCTCCAGATGTCTGGACACTCACCTTCTCCATTGCGGTAGCAGAGGTAGGGAAACCTCCAGATGTCTGGACACTCACCTTCTCCATTGCGGTAGCAGAGGTAGGGAAAACCTCCAGATGTCTGGACACTCACCTTCTCCATTGCGGTAGCAGAGGTAGGGAAACCTCCAGATGTCTGGACACCTCACCTTCTCCATTGCGGTAGCAGAGGTAGGAAAACCTCCAGATGTCTGGACACTCACCTTCTCCCATTGCGGATAGCAGAGGTAAGGAAAACCTCCAGATGTCTGGACACTCACCTTCTCCATTTGCGGTAGCAGAGGTAGGAAAACCTCCAGATGTCTGGAAAACTCACCTTCTCCATTGCGGTAGCAGAGGTAGGAAAACCTCCAGATGTCTGGACACTCTCCTTCTCCATTGCGGTAGCAGAGGTGGGAAAAACCTCCAGATGTCTGGACACTCACCTTCTCCATTGCGGTAGCAGAGGTAGGAAAACCTCCAGATGTCTGGACACTCACCTTCTCCATTGCGGTAGCAGAGGTAGGGAAACCTCCAGATGTCTGGACACTCACCTTCTCCATTGCGGTAGCAGAGGTAGGAAAACCTCCAGATGTCTGGACACTCACCTTCTCCATTGCGGTAGCAGAGGTAAGGAAAACCTCCAGATGTCTGGACACTCACCTTCTCCACTGCGGTAGCAGAGGTAAGGAAAACCTCCAGATGTCTGGACACTCACCTTCTCCATTGCGGTAGCAGAGGTAAGGAAATCTCCAGATGTCTGGACACTCACCTTCTCCATTGCGGTAGCAGAGGTAGGGAAACCTCCAGATGTCTGGACACTCACCTTCTCCACTGCGGTAGCAGAGGTAAGGAAATCTCCAGATGTCTGGACATTCACCTTCTCCATTGCGGTAGCAGAGGTAGGGAAACCTCCAGATGTCTGGACACTCACCTTCTCCATTGCGGTAGCAGAGGTAGGGAAACCTCCAGATGTCTGGACACTCACCTTCTCCATTGCGGTAGCAGAGGTAGGGAAACCTCCAGATGTCTGGACACTCACCTTCTCCATTGCGGTAGCAGAGGTAGGGAAACCTCCAGATGTCTGGACACTCACCTCCTCCATTGGGGGTTAGCAGAGGTAGGGAAACCTCCAGATGTTGCCTAGGCCGACAGCGAAGGACAGGCAGGAGAGGAGGAACTCCAGCTTGTTGGCCCACAGTCCTACCCTCGTCGTTGATGCTAATACTCTTGTCATCTTCAGCACGCTTAACCGTGATTCTGATCTCACTCACGTCACTCTCCAAGGCCACGCTCTGCTTCACCACCCCATCATTTGTCGTCGTAATAACAATAATAATAATTATAATAATAATACTAATATGATAATAATTTATATATGATAATAATTATAAATTATATAATAATGATAATTATAATAATTATATAATATGATAATTATAAATTATTTAATAATAATAATGATGATAATTATAATAATTATATAATAATAAGAATAATATAAAATATAAATATATTTAAAATATAAAAAATGATAATAAAAAATACAAATAAAAAAATAATAAAAATAATATAAAAAATAAATAATTTTAAATATAAAAAATGATAATATAATAATAATATAAAAATAAATAATTTAAAATTTTAAAAATGATAATAAAAATTCAAATATACAAAAATGATATACAAAATTAAATTAGTTAAAATACTAACAATAATGATAATAAGAATAAAATAATTAAAATATTAACACTAATAATAATAATAAAAATGATTATAAGTAATAAAAATAATACTACAAAAATAAAATAATAATAACAGTTAATAATAATAATCATAATATAAAAATGACGAAATAAAAATAAAATAAAAATAAAAATTAATAAAAATAAATAATGATAATAATGATAATAATAATAATAATAATAATAATAATAATAATAATACAAGGAGAAAATGGTAAGTGGAGGTTAAGATGACCCAGGATATAATAATTCCTTCAGTGTGAAGTTATATTAATATTTCATAAAGCGGCAAACCCATGTGGGTCACTCACCTCTGGAAATATAATGATGATTGGAATTATGATGATTGTGATTATGATTGCCATTTTAACTGTATAAGTGATGAGTTAATGATTGTGATAATTGAGATTATGAATTAATGTGTTGGTGACTGATGATTTTGATGACTATGATAATGTGTGAGGTGATTATGATGATGATTGTGATGATACTGATGATTATGATGATGATTGTGATGATACTGATGATTATGATGATGATTGTGATGATACTGATGATTTTGATGATGATTGTGATGATACTGATTATTATGATGACATGAGTATGGTGACTGATGAGCATGGAAATGATTGTGATGACTGAAGGTAATGACAATGATTGTGATGACTGAATGTAATGACAATGATTGTGATGACTGAAGGTAATGACAATGATTGTGATGACTGAAGGTAATGACAATGATTGTGATAACTGAAGGTAATGACAATGATTGTGATGACTGAAGGTAATGACAATGATTGTGATGACTGAAGGTAATGACAATGATTGTGATGACTGAAGGTAATGACAATGATTGTGATGACTGAAGGTAATGACAATGATTGTGATAACTGAAGGTAATGACAATGATTGTGATGACTGAAGGTAATGACAATGATCATGATGACTGAAGGTAATGACAATGATTGTGATGACTGAAGGTAATGACAATGATTGTGATGACTGAAGGTAATGACAATGATTGTGATGACTGAAGGTAATGACAATGATTTGTGATGACTGAAGGTAATGACAATGATTGTGATGACTGAAGGTAATGACAATGATTGTGATGACTGAAGGTAATGACAATGATTGTGATGACTGAAGGTAATGACAATGATCGTGATGACTGAAGGTAATGACAATGATCGTGATGACTGAAGGTAATAACAATGATCGTGATGACTGAAGGTAATAACAATGATTGTGATGACTGAAGGTAGTGACAATGTAATGACTGAAGGCAATGACAATGACTGATGACAATGAGATGATAATAATGATGGTGATGATCTTCGAAGTTGGATGCAAGAGGGACATCATCATCAGTTCACACTGCGTCACTATCATCCCACCATTAAGTCCACACCTGAACACACACCTGCTACAACCTTCAGACTGGTGTATCAAAACGTTGTCATAAGACTGAGCTTGTGCAATAGTGATGGGAGACGTGGCCGTACCTGTCAACAGGTGATGGGGCCACCAGGCACCTGATGAACGTGCTGGGACTACCAGGTACTTGTAAATAGGTGCTCTCTCCAATCAACAGGTGCTGGGAACACCAGGTACCTCGTTCACACGTGTGTGTGTATGTGTGTGTGTCGTACCCAATATGCCAAACAGGTGAGTTAGGCCTAAATAGTAACCAGTGAAAAATTTATATGCCATAAATCTGTCAAAATCAATGTGAATAAACAAAAAAAAATATAACTGATTTTAAGTAATATTAAATAAATTTAGAGATCAGATTTAAATAAATATAAACTATAAATTTAGCAAATTTGCCTTGAAAAATTACGTTACTTTAGGTTAAGTTAGATATCTAAGTTAGATTTGGTAAAAAAAAAAAAAATAAAAAAAAAAAAAAAAGGGGGGGGGGTTCGTTTTAAAGAAATTCAAGTTTACTTAGCAAGTTCGGCTTATTAGGTACGGCATATATATGTGTGTGTATATATAGAGTGATTGCAAATATGAAAAACAATACCAGTGGATATAAAACTTCTAGCCAGCATAGAGTTCTTCATACCTCCCATGCCAGTGGTCTGCATGACGCTTGTCGGCAATCTGTCAAATACACGTAAATCATTCCTCTTGTGTGTGTGTGTGTGTGTGTGTGTGTGTGTGTGTGTGTGTGTGTGTGTGTGTGTGTGTGCATGTGTGTGTGTGTGTGTGTGTATGTGTGTGTGTATGTGTGTGTGTGTGTGTGTGTGTGTGTGTGTGTGTGTGTGTGTGTGTGTGTGTGTGTGTGTGTGTGTGTGTGTGTGTGTGTGTGTGTGTGTGTGCATGTGTGTGTGTGTGTGTGTGCATGTGTGTGTGTGTGTGTGTGTGTGTGTGTGTGTGTGTGTGTGTGTGTGTGTGTGTGTGTGTGTGTGTGTGTGTGTGTACTCACCTATTTGTACTCACCTATCTGTGGTTGCAGGGGTCGAGTCATAGCTCCTGGCCCCGCCTCTTCACTGATTGCTACTAGGTCCTCTCTCTCCCTGCTCCATGAGCTTTATCATACCTCGCCTTAAAAACTATGTATGGTTCCCGCCTCCACTACTTCACTTTCTAGGCTATTCCACGGCTTGACTACTCTATGACTGAAGAAATACTTCCTAACATCCCTTTGATTCATCTGAGTCTTCAACTTCCAATTGTGACCTCTTGTGTCTGTGTCCCATCTCTGGAACATCCCGTCTCTGTCCACCTCGTCTATTCCGCGCAGTATTTTATATGTCGTTATCATGTCTCCCCTGACCCTCCTGGCCTCCAGTGTCGTCAGGCCGATTTCCCTCAACCTTTCTTCGTAGGACAATCCCCGTAGCTCTGGGACTAGTCTTGTTGCAAACCTTTGCACTTTCTCTAATTTCTTGACGTGCTTGACTAGGTGTGGATTCCAAACTGGTGCTGCATACTCCAGTATGGGCCTGACGTAAATGGTATACAGAGTCTTGAACGAATCCTTACTGAGGTATCGGAACGCTATCCGTAGGTTTGCCAGGCGCCCGTATGCTGCAGCAGTTATCTGATTGATGTGCGCCTCAGAAGATATGCTCGGTGTTATACTCACCCCCAGATCTTTTTCCTTGAGTGAGGTTTGCAGACTTTGGCCATCTAAACTATATTGTGTCTGCGGTCTTCTTTGCCCTTCCCCAATCTTCATGACTTTGCATTTGGCGGGGTTAAACTCAAGGAGCCAGTTGCTGGACCAGGCTTGTAGCCTGTCCAGGTCTCTTTGTAGTCCTGCCTGATCCTCATCCGATTTGATTCTTCTCATTAACTTCACATCGTCCGCAAACAAGGACACTTCTGAGTCTATCCCTTCCGTTATGTCATTCACATATACCAAGAACAGCACAGGTCATAGGACTGACCCCTGTGGAATCCCGCTTGTCACAGGCGCCCACTTTGACACCTCATCACGTACCATGACTCGTTGTTGCCTCCCTGTAAGGTATTCTCTTATCCATTGCAGTGCCTTTCCTGTTATGTGTCCCTGATCCTCTAGCTTTTGCAGTAACCTCTTGTGAGGAACTGTGTCGAAGGCCTTCTTGCAGTCCAAAAAAATGCAGTCGATCCACCCCTCTCTCTCTTGTCTTACTTCTGTCACCTTGTCATAAAACTCTAACAGGTTTGTGACACAGGATTTTCCCTCCCTGAAACCATGCTGGTTGTCAATTATACACTTGTTTCTTTCCAGGTGCTCCACCACTCTCCTCCTGATGATCTTCTCCATGACCTTGCATACTATACACGTTAATGATACAGGTCTGTAGTTTAGTGCCTCATGTCTATCTCCCTTTTTAAAAATTGGGACTACATTTGCCATCTTCCATACCTCAGGGAGTTGCCCAGTTTCAAATGATGTGTTGAAGATCTTCGTTAATGGTACACACAATGTCTCTGCTCCCTCTTTAAGGACCCACGGAGAGATGTTGTCTGGTCCCACCGCCTTTGAGGTGTCAAGTTCGCATAGCAGCTTCTTCACCTCCTCCTTGGTTATATGTACCTCATCCAGCACTTGCTGGTGCACCCCCCTGCTCTGATTTCCTGGAGTCCTACTGGTTTCCACTGTAAATACTTCTTTAAATCTTGTGCTGAGCTCCTGACATACCTCCTGGTCGTTTCTTGTGAATTCCCCATTACCCTTCCTCAGTCTGATTACCTGGTCCTTGACCGTTGTTTTCCTCCTGATGTGGCTGTACAACAGCTTCGGGTCAGTCTTGACTTTCGATGCTATGTCATTTTCGTATTGCCGCTGAGCCTCCCTTCTTATCTGTGCATATTCGTTTCTGGCTCTTCGGCTAATCTCTTTATTTTCCTGAGTTCTCTGTCTTCTGTACCTTTTCCATTCTCTAGTACACCTAGTTTTTGCCTCCCTACACCTTTGGGTGAACCAAGGACTCATTCTGTTCTTCCCATTATTTCTGTTTCCCTTGGGAACAAACCTCTCCTCTGCCTCCTTGCATTTTGTTGCCATATAGTCCATCATTTCTTGTACTGGTTTTCCTGTCAGTTCCCTCTCC